GTGTGTCGCAGGATTATTGGGACAGGGACAGAACGCCAGGCACATGGGTCGGGGGAGGTAAAAGAACAGACCATATAAAAGGGGAAGAGTAAGAGTGGAAGAATAGGCAATGCTGCTCTAGATCGAACTCCATGCTGGCTTACCTTCGCATGCTCCACATGAAACTGGTCGGCAATTTTCCTCAGGTCGCTGCCCATGCTCCTCCACGCCTTGGCCCCTTCGCTCCCCTCGGCCGCCCCCGCCTCCGACTGGGTACTGACGGCGGACTGCTCTGCTTCGTGAAGGCGGTCGTGACACTCCGGAGCGATCTCGCCGCGACTCTCCGCCGATTCCAGCCTCGCTCGGGCTTCCGGCGTCGGGCAGCTCGTCCTTTTCTCGCCGCCACATCTGCTCGTGCTTGTACTGGGCTCCGCCGCGCAGGACGGCTGGACGGGCGTGGGGATGGCGGTGGGCTGGGCATGAGACGTCGTGGCGCCGGGAGCGACGCCCTTTTCGGGTTCACACGGAAAGAGGAAGTGGTGGGAGTGTGCCCGCCGAAGGGGCGACGGCGGCGGGGCGTCACCCAGCATCATCTCGGACAGGGACGCGCCTGGAGAGGACAACGAAGAAGGGTTGTAGCGCAGCCGTTGCAGTACGAGCACAAAATTTGATTATTTACATACAAGTACGAATGAAAGTGTCAAAACGGAACGAAATACATGACTACAATTGTGCATTTCGATTTACTGATATACAATGTTTGACAACTGGAATGTGGAATGCAGTTGATGGTCTCCATGCATGATATTTACATAGGTAAAGTGAGATAAGGTAAAAATTTCCTTTCGTTTCAATTTGTGCAGATCGTTAACTGGTTCCAGTGTATTCCACAAAGTATGAAAAATAAATACAAAAAACAGTCCAGAATGACATAACTGACATTCTACGGGTACTTACCAAGTCTGAGATTCTGCCATTCCACCGTCGAAGAATTGTAAGCGCCAATCCTACAACACTTCACGTCCCCGCTGCCCATATCAATGGCTCGACCGAACGGCACTGCTCCAACTTGTAAGATCACACTGATCATATTCACGTTTGCACAAAATGCACAGTTCGCAGCACAGTACTTTACTTCACGTCTTATTCGATGTACATCCAGGGTCTCACTGATCCTGTCGGTCACTGGGTAACAGGTTATTGCTCGGTCGGGCCCGACAAACAAGTGCGCGGGGTTCTGGCCAATCAGAGTCTGGTATTCTTGCCATTTAATTATTGCGTTTATTTTTTGTGTAATTCCATTCCTTTGTTTTTAATTTTTCGACATTTGGTTAAGGCAATAATATGTTTATTAGTTATTCTATCTGGGAATATATAAGATACAAAATATCTATAGTGAAATATAATTCAATTAATATAAACAGAGGCGGAGCTGATATCATAAGCTCCGCCCCCGACATCCCGGTGAACCAATAGCAGGCGGCCGTCCGCACGTGGTGACGCTCACGACAAAGGGCTAGTAAACAAATCTGTTTTGACGAGGGAGGGGGGGGGATGGGGATATTTTATCTTAGATATCGACTCGGTTTCCGATATCATTTTGTAGCACCAATGTCACCATTTAAGTTTCTCGAGTTTCAATCTTGATTATTAATAATAGCAATATTCCCATGTGTTTTACTCTAATATATAAAAAAGTTTTGATTAAATGTCTTCTGGCCAATCAGACTGACACCGCATTATTTTCTCCATTAATGCACAATTTCACTGAAGTGCAAAACAGTCATTTTTGCCTTTTAAATGTTCGAAATTGATATTTAATCCTTGTGGAGGACTCGAACTGGGTTCGAGAGAATTACACTTAATTGTTCATCACAACCTTTCACCTCTTCATTATGACCTGAGACAGTAGTCTGAAATCAAGTAATTACGTCCTAATTGCTGGCCATAACACCCATCACTCCACCTGTGACCTCGCCTCTTCGGTGATGACCTGAGCTCACGAGTGACTTTCTGGCGTGATAACCTGTCCTGGTCTCAAAGTCCCGATGAAGTCCAGGGACTCGGGCAGGTTAGTGACACATGCGCATAATGTATACGCAATTACAGTGGTACATTTACGTGGACGGATTTTTTTTTCTGGCAATACATGCGTAGTATCCAGTATTTTGTGAATGAAATGCTCTTGTTTGTATGGACGTCTGTGATTGGCGCCTGTTATTTCGCAAATATATTCACTGGCAACTAGTATCAGTTATTGGAATTCTGTTAAAAAGTTTGGAAACATTTAAAAGTTTTGCCCAATATCAATATTATTGCTTGAAATATGTTGTGTTTTCCTTTAAAAAACAAACATTGGTAATAGTATAACTGGAAACTTTAGCACAATCACGATAGCCAAACATCGGTGAGAATATTTAATGTCAAATCATTTTAAAGCAAAAATGCGCCTGTAAAAACATATTTAAGAGTTTTCGTTAGATTTACAAACGTAAAACACATTAGTTTAAGGTGAAATACG